AAGATGCATTACATGAAATTAACTTTCAAGGACTTCCTGCGGTAAATAATTTTTCCAGATAAAACCCAAATCTCCCAAAGCCCTTTGCATGTATGACCCTTTGAAAGTCACAAGTCTGGGTTTATACATGTAAGACCTTCACATTTTCCTGGCTTAACTGGTATATAACTTCCATTTACATTTATCTGCAGGGTTACGTATGATATATCTGGCAGTACCACTTTAAAAAGACCTGTATGCTTGAGAGATCTCTAGTGCAATACCCCCCAGGTATGCATGGTTTAGATATGCAAGAGTGCATTGTACTAGTGGATGTTGGATTGAAGATCTCTTTGGAGATCTTTTTATATTTCAGTGACCCAGGGTAATAAAATCCAAGATACGTTTAGCACAACTGGGGTATTTATGGGGTATTGTGGCTGAAAAATTCCCTACATTTCTGAGGTTCATCATGAAAGCCACTGTAAGCTTTTGACTGGGGTTGTGTCAAATCTGAAATAATCCTATTATTCAAACACCAATCTGCAAGTGCCCAGACCTGATCTTCTGAAATCCTTTTCAAGTCTAATGTGACCCAGTCTGGTCTAGCTGAGTAGTCCAATTTTCAAATTATACGACTGTAGGTCCTACGAAAGAAAATTAACTTGTTCCTAGCCACTCTAACTTGATATTAAAGGTTTTATTAGCTCCCAGAAAAGTGACTGTGAGTTTCAATAATTCATCTCATGATAGATTGTGACAAAAAGTCCAGATATTTGCATATAAGAAATCTAACCGGACAAATAAATAGGCAATCACCTTTGGCATGGGAGAAAGTGAATGGTACAAAGGTCACCTCATTTCCTGTTATTCATGTCTGTTGCTTTATAGAAGCTCCTGGGAAAATGCATACTAGTATACAGAATCAGCTCTCCTCCTGCACCATACATCAACCCATGCACGGCCTTTTAAGAAAAAAAATTGTCACTGGGCGAAAAGGCCTCGGATGCAGCCGGATCCCAAGGATCCGAATTTGCATCACCTTGCGGATGCTGCGCGAATCCCCAAGAATCCCAAGGATTGCTGATCCCACACCAAGAATCCCCAGGATTGCGGATCCCACACACATCCGTAACGCATACGTATGCATCCGTAACTCGCAGCGGATGCAGATGCGGCATTTGTAGGGATACATACTTACTTCGCAGCGGATGCAGACACGGTATCCGTACTCGTTACGTATACGTTAGAAATAATACGTCGTTAGGATAGGAAACGTCACATTTTTAGGGGTCGTGACCTGTCATATTTTTGGACCTCGAATACTACCGTTTATAACATAGATATAAGTCAGACAATACACTATACACTGGATACAAGGATACTCGTATTCTTGGGAGTTTTTTTTTACATCCTTGGTCCACTCCACAGCAGAAGCGAATTGTGGGTAATCTGGGGATTTGCTTTCTTACGCATCCGCGGGCCCACTCCACAGAAGAAGCGAATTGTGGGTAATCTGGGGATTTCTTGAAGTATCCGAATTTGCTTTTTACGCATCCGAGGGCCCATTCCACAGCAGAAGCGAATTGTGGGTAATCTGGGGATTTCTTGAATATCCGAATTTGCTTTCTTACGCATCCGCGGGCCCACTCCACAGCAGAAGCGAATTGTGGGTAATCTGGGGATTTCTTGAATATTCGAATTTGCTTTTTTACGCATCCGCGGGCCCACTCCACAGCAGAAGCGAATTGTGGGTAATCTGGGGATTTCTTGAATATCCGAATTTGCTTTTTTACGCATCCGCGGGCCCACTCCACAGCAGAAGCGAATTGTGGGTAATCTGGGGATTTCTTGAATATCCGAATTTGCTTTTTGACGCATCCGCGGACCCACTCCACAGCAGAAGCGAATTGTGGGTAATCTGGGGATTTCTTAAATATCCGAATTTGTTTTCGTACGCATCCGCAAATTGTTGAAATTACAGTCGCCACAAGAGGGCGCACCCCGTAACTTAGCCATATACGTACATTGTAACGTTGCCTTTGCGCGTCGCATAAGCAAATGTCTGCTCGGATTCGTGACTGTACTGATTTTTGCTGATTGGAAACTTTGCGTATCAGACAAGAAGTTGGTTCACATACAACCTTCGCCGGTGTCAAAACCGAGCATCTCTCAAAGATCCACCTCTGTATTTTCGACGGATCCGCAGAGCAGTTCCGGCAGCAGCACCGCAGTGCCTTGTGGGTAATCTGAGAAACCCCGGGGGAGATTCAAACTCAACTGTCACTTTCAGTGACCGCTTGCTTGAGTGTGCGTCCCTTTCTATCGTCCCGCTTGCTGTCCTTATATATATCCGCTGCACATAAATTCAGCAACCACGGCATTGATTGTCAAAGTCTAGGATACTGACCGTACACCGACTGGACGCTATGAAGTATCAGTGGCCGAGACAAGGACGAGAGACATACCGGGGACATCGCCCGGCGAGTGCACGAAGCCGCCAGGCATGTCATGACACGTTGCAGACTCGCCTGACGAACAGTTCAACTGGACCATAAACCGACTGCATAAGACTGTTGACGGCATATAGAAGTGAGTAAACCCTTCGAAACTCTCTTAATTAGTATGATCATTATGGTTTCAGATCATTTCTGACAAAAGTTTAGAGCAACTCAACTTCGCAACTCACATCTGTGGCCTTTATATGACCTGTTGTTCCCATATGTAAAAGCGCCGGCCTTCTCACGGGGGGTATTTCACACCTCAATGCTGGCTTGCATAACAATGCCTACTGCTGGCATCCGGGCCGCTGGGGAGACTGTTATCCTGACGGTTTTTAGCACATTCTGGCCGAAATGCCATTTTTACACTGTACTTGTTTTCTGTTTTTTCGTAGGTCAGAAGCGGCTGATTGAAAGTGGTAAGACTGTCTTCAGTGCAGACTTCTACAAAGACCATCCTGATGTGGGACTAGGAGACAGATGATGGCTGTAACACATGGACAGTGAGACGACCATCCTGGCGAAGCAAGACGTGATAGTTCTAGTTCTACCTGTTTATTATTGCAAATATTTATTTTACATATGGTACATGTATTCGTATAGTTAGTTCTCTCTTTTTTGTCGCTTTACACAGTTTTAATAAAGGCTTTCAGGCTAAATCTATTCATTCGTTTATTCCTTCATTTATCTAATTTGAGTTTGACTTGCTTGTTGGATCTGCACGTATACATATCAAACAGGGGAGAATGCCGTAAGGATTCGGGAAGATCCGAGGTACGGATAATAAAAATCCAAACGCCGGCTCTGTTTGCATCCGAGGCAAATGCAGAGAAATGTGTATGGAAATCCGATAGGGATACGGGAAAATCACAAGTTGTATCTGTACGCATCCGTGTAAAATATCGACGTCTGCACGTGGGGATATATCGCATATCCGGCAAAATCCCTATTAAAAAAATTCGCATCCGTAGAAAATCCTGATTTTTGCATTCTTTGGCATCCGGACAGTCCAGGCTACTTCAGGTGTACAAAAAATCACCAAAGAAACAAATTGGTATCCGCGGAAAATCCCGCTTTGGAATCCTTTGGGATCCGGACAGTCCAGGTAATACAAAAAAATCCCTAAAGAAACAAATTGGTATCCGTGGAAAATCCCATTTTGGGATATTTAGGGATCCAAACGTTCCGGATCCCTAAGAATGCAAATTTAGGATATTTTACGGATCCTACCCGTATCCGTTTGCATCCGCTTGTATCTGCTAAAAATGCGTAAATATCCCTGTGCGCATATGGCTGCATTCGAGGCCTTTTCGCCCAGTGTGTGACTGAATGAAAAATGTATGCTGTGCAATTCTGTCCATGAGTGCTTGTTACTGAAACAGTTGACACTAAACTGTTTTGATTGGAACCGGTTAGGCCTGGAGATTGTTTCTGTTAACAGTGAAGTTGGCCAGACGTGTGGTGATTGCAGAGAAACGGAAGAAGTCAATCAGATAATGGTGCCATTTATCTTTTGGCCCATAATTGCCTACCTTGCTTTCTAACTCTCCCAAGCTGCACACGTAGGAATAGTCTAGACACTGTGTAACCATTATTCGGTGATGTTAGGTAATGGCAGTCCATTTGAACAAATAGTGCTTGAATCAAAGTTGACCGCCGAAGCTCAATTTGCTGATGCCTGACTGTCCGGTTGGATGATTATAGGCACCACACTTTGAATAATGACTTTGTTTTATTTCAGTGCTCACCAACCCTACTTGTTGCTATAAAAGATGTATTATCAAATGATTGTTGTCAATAGTTTATCATTAGTGCAATACCAAAACATTTTCTTGGTCATGTGTCTACAAATTTTTATGGAATAACATATCAACATTGTAGACAGTTGTAGACAACTCAAATGCTATGGATACATTATACAACTTATATTTCGTGAGGTCATGCTTGTCAATGGAGAACAGCAATGCATTCAGCACCATGGAGAGTGGTGGAATCAGTCACTGTATGAATGGCCCACAAAGGTACTCACCATCAGTAGACTTGTCAATTCCAAGTGTCATGGCTACCTTTAGGAGTCTTTCCAGAGTGCCAAAGCTTATTGGTGCTGTCCATCACCCAGAGTGCTAAAGCTCCAACTTGAAGCGTTCATTCAATAGGGACGCCCACAGAAGATTAGTAAATGTACCACTGGTCACCCGCTCCTCCCACACCAATTCGCTAGTATAAGCCCAGGCCACTGCAATGGTTATTTTGCCAATTTTGTATAACCAGATCTTAAAAATGATATATACCACATGGAGACATAAAACTGCACAGGATTGGTCAAATTCCAGTTTATTTTACAGGTTGTCTAGAGGTCTGACGGTTTGGTATTCTAGACAATGTACATGTGTGTAATAGACCTATGATACTTAAACAGCTCTCTGAGCTGATTCAAATACATGTATACTCGGTATATCACCATCATATAAGCTTTTACATGTCGGTATAACCAGATCTTTAACATATTTACAGTATGCATACACTAAAATGAATCTTTTCGATCAACAGTAAAGTGTGTCTCTCCCATATTCGTCTCTTCTAGAAAAAGCACATTTGGATCAAAGCAAGTAAAAACCTTCCTGGTAATTTTGTTTTTACAGTTGTCATGTCTTGTCAATAGCATATACTAATCAAGTATCTTAGAAGTAGATTGTTTCCTCCCTGAAATTTTCTATCTCACACATGTCAGGTCTTGCCAGTTTTCATAGCATACTGGTCCAGTATGTAGTCAGGATTCTGTAGTTTTGTTGTGGTAAAAAAGTCTCACTACAGTGTACTTTACATACTTATATTTCGAAGTCTATGATGAATAATTGTCTGTAACCCTTGACCAAACAAACTTATGCAGTAACCAGTACAAATTTGGGCACTTAAATGTACTCCATGCATTGTTGTTGATACTTTTTAAGTTGAAATCACAGTGCAAGAAAGTTCATTTCCTTCAGTAACAATATGACAAACTAATAACTATTCCCTTGAAACACATTTTGTTGTCAACATGAATCATATCACTTATCAACTGTAAAGAACCCAATAACTCAAGTTAACTAAACTTGTCGTTTTGTTTCTCATTATGACTTCACATCCTTATAAATATCTATATAATATAAAACATGTACCTCGACAATATCTAATGATAAAAACATTAATTACAGAAAAGTACATGCCTCATGCACTTAATGAGTCAGACAAAAGACCGTACAGTAGTGTGCTGAAAATAATCATCATGTATCTTCCTCCAGTAAAGAGTACCTTGTCTGTCATTTTAGTCACATTATGACATGCACATTGACATTAGAATGTAATAATGACAGCTAACGAATGATCTTTTATAGCATCATTGATCACAATTTCTCTCTCGAGAGAGAGCTGGATTAACTTGGTCTAATTAATATTCATCTTATAGCTTCAGCAACAATGAAATATAGTTTTATCGATTTCTGGCCCTGGGAGATTTCCTCCATTTTTGTCCTTATCATTTTGGTGCAGATGCAATAATGATATGTTTTACACATCAGTAAATCCAACTCAACCGTTCCTGATCCATGCATGGATTGGGGGGCCGCAGAGCCCGCAAAATGCAGTTATCTGAACACATGCACAGTTTCAATGTTGGCATCATCGCTCTGATCATCAGAAAGCTTTTCAATTTCTTCCATCTCCTGCTCCACATAGGAGACAGCACATCGCTGTCGATGGTGGTCGATCATGGTCCGGTAGTACTGTACATGTTCTCTTTGAGTGTAAGGCGGAGGCTTGGGTTGAGGTGGGAAGGTGGCACGCCAACATGGCACATTATTGTAGCTGCACTCCAGGTTGATAAAACCTCTCTCGGAGCACAGGTCCTCGTTGCAACAACAGAGAAGCCAGCTCAGGCACTTGAATCTCCTCTCTTGCTCCTCACTTGAGATGGAGGCAGCAGTGCCTTTTGCAGCCCTATATCCTGATCTCCTAATACAACACGCACCACTCAGACAACAACAAAATATGTGCCTACATTCACAGTCTCTGGTCTCATCATCATCATCACTGAGTGCACTAAGAGGGCTTTCGATGGGCAGGCGATTATGAGGCCTCCTTGGTTTAAGCATTTTGACCTTTGCCTGTTGATGCTTCTTCAGACTCTTGGACAGCTTGTGGCTACGATAGATAGCATTAAAGTTTGATACTACTACAGTGGTGGGTAAAGTTATAAGTAGTACACCGCTCAAGGCGCATACCCCAGCTATTACCTTTCCTTGAATAGTGTTGGGTACCATGTCACCATACCCAAGTGTTGTCATAGTCACAATGCTGTACCAGAATGATCGTGGCACACTGGTGAATACAGAGTTAGGTTCGTCTCTCTCTGCATAGTACATCATTGTTGACGATACGACGACTCCCATGAAAAGGGCGAATAAGAGAAAGGTCAGCTCACCATAACAACGTCTTAACGTATGCAGCAAAATTCGCAGACCACGGGAGTACCACTGGCACTTGAATATTCTGAAGACACGGAAAACACGTAAAGTCATGAGAGACTTTCCTGTTCCTATCTGAACGACGAAGAGTCCGATGTAATACGGTACCATTGCAAGCACGTCCACGACGCTCATCAAGCTTGTGACAAACTGACAACGATTCGGTGCTGAAAACAGGCGCAGCATATACTCCAGAGTGAAGATGACAATGCAGGCGCTTTCTATGGCTGTGAAAGTCAAGGCATACTTCTCCCCCAGTGGCAGCTGATCTCTTGAACTCCCATACACCGTCTCCAGCACACTACTGAATATGGACGTTACGATGCATATCCCCACCACATAGTAAATGGCAGGCCCGAGTAAAGTGAACTGAGGACGATCAAACATCAACCATATTTTCTCCCGGAAGGTCTTCGGTTTTTGGACTGCAGGTAAGGCTTTCTCCTGGAATCGGTTTTCCAGCTCGTGCATTTCTTGTTCGTAGTCTTCAAAGCAACATTGCTCCAGAAGGTCGGGAAGAATACCCCAGAAGGCCAGCTCTTCATTATAGGAAGTTACGCAGATGGCCCTGTTGTAGTGTAACTTCCCAGTCTGGTAAAACTGCAAAACGATCCGGAACACCTCAGGATCACGATCAAAGAAATATTCATTGTTTTTCTCATCCAGGTAGTTCTCTTTCTTGTCTCCCCCGAGCAGGGTGCTTGGAAACTTATTCAGATGGCTCTGCCATGTTATAAACTTCTGCCCACTGACGTTAAAAATCACCTTCTTCTCCCCGGCGTGGCTTACAAACTTTGGCCTCTCTGGACGGGAGAATATCAGTCCCAGGTTTACTGAGGACTTGCGTCGACTTGATGACCACGAAGCAGCAGTAGCAGCCATCTTGGAGGTGCATAGTACTCTAACAGTTTATCACTCCTGGCTGGAATCCAAATCTTGGACGTTACATAAGAAATCCCTCCTTGCAATGCTAATTCTTTTCTTTTCGTATTCCAATTATATCATAATTGAGCCTGGAGCCATTGTGCTTCAGAAGTCTGTGCTCTCAGATGTTCAGAGACCCATAGAGAGAAGTCATGGCGTTCCCCACAGGCTCCGCCCATCCGATGACTCAGGTATCACACAGATCATACATAAACCATGAGACAGACAACTCAGTGGTAGAAGCACCTTTGTGTGGTTAAGCCAATTCTCGCTATATGGGGCATTTTTGCTTTCCAACAATACCTTGTCTTCAAACAGTCTGGTCAAAAAGTATGCCTTCAGGCAGGTTATCAGTTGGTTTGTTCAGTATGTATGTCCATTCTTTTCATGTACTAAGTGGTCCATACTTCCAGTGCTTTTGAATGATGTAAAGCTACAAGTTGAAGAATGACAAAAGAGTCAAAAGTTCTCACAACTGTTGCAACAAGCTCAGTCTTTTGTCTTGCCGTCAGCTCTGCGACACAGTCCCGACAGCTTCAGCCCAAGATGTATTTATGAGAACCTGGCAGTGGCACCCCATCCATCTTGAATCAGTACGACTGATTGAGCTGTCGTGGAACTTCTGAGCTGTCCCAGGCGTCTAATAGATTTATCCGTTGATGAGATTGGCTTCAGCTGCAATTACTGAAAGATGGTTGGCTGCCTGCCTGTCCACCTGTCCGTGACTAATGAACTGGAACCTGAGGTTCAACACGTCTCTAAGGTGTAGGCCTGCAGTCCAGCGTCCTTCATACATATAGACTTGTGTGTCTGGCCAGTTTGGTGATAAGGTGCTAGCCACACATCCTTCTTGGTTTGGGCACCTGAAACATGAAGGACATTCTGTGTTACATACACCAAAAAGTAGAAACAAATTCTTGCATTGCATGCAAAAGATACTTCATTACACACACACACACACACACCCTGATATATTAGTTAGATTCTGAAAGTTTATATATTAAAGCAGTCTGATAATACCTGGTAGTTTCTGGTATGTTGGTTGTCAATGCATGCAGAGTAGTTTGCTTGGCATTTACGATTCTATCTGCATCATTCACCTTACTTGCACAAAGAGCTATTCTTGCCCAGGAACATATAAGCCTTCAAAGACCATTCTTATTTCAACCATTAGCACTTCCTGAGACCTTTTTTTGCCTGACACGTTTCTTTTTGTTCGGTTTATCTCTTGGAATATTAAAGTATTTGACCTACATACTGCCTAACAGTTGGTACGTTGTATCTATGCATGGCTATTTGGTGAAGCAATTAGCACCAGCCTGTTGCTATGTCCTATGAGAATGTTATCTAGAAAATACAGCTGGATCAATTTCCATGCTAGATGGTTTTCAGGTGTCGTAATGAAATGTATCACAACTACATCATTGCTGTTAGTGGGGTGGAAGAACCCCCCCAAAATTTCCTTAACAGAATTATTTGAATAAAAAATATAAGTTTGATATTTTTATTTGAGACAATTAAAATACAGGTTATCAATGGTTTGTTCTCAAGGTATCAAAATATCAATGCTATGTGTTTATCATCTTAACTGTGGTTCATTATATGGAATGACAGATGTACTAATTATCAAGTAGATCTATTGACTCCAGACCAGATATGAATAAAGGATAGGTTGTATGTATGTACCAAAATAGCAGGCTGGCCTCCAGGTCTGGCACACCAGCCAAACTTGTAAGTGAGGTTACTCTTGTTTTATCTGAGTTATCTACTAGACAATTGATTCAACAATAATCTCCTTTGAGTCAGAAAATATATTGAAAGCCGCCACTTTTTTTTCTGAATGCCTGCTTCAAGGCAGAAAGAAATCAATGTTAACCACATCTGCATGGTGATTAAAGAAGCTAGAAGACTACATGTATGTGGCACATGCACCACACCAGGGGCAGCAGCTTGGAAAATGCAAGACCATAATTCAAGACGAAAGTATCAACTTATGTACTACTACACAGAAATACTGCTGATATTCAAGACCATGGCATTCTGTCACATCACATCAAAGCTGCTGTGCTTTGGGTACAAGTGACCTTTGCACCTTTGGAGTCATCAAATGTCTGCCCTTTTAAGACTGGAGTTTCTCCTCTTGAACATTATTATGTACATTTTGTCATTGTACAAGGTTTCGAAGGTTGCCCTAAACCCTTACTCCCCCAGACATGTTATATATTTCCTGACACCTAAGACATTCCATGTGACAGAGTACAAGTGCGTGATTGATTGCAAGGATGCGACTCGGCCAGTGCTCTGGCCTTGAGGCTTGCAGTACACAGACAGATATGTGTATCATTTCAACTTGGACATCTCTCTTGTAAACAGGAGGCATGTTTGTGACGTAGGTAGCCCATGAACCAGAAGAGTAAGACATGTGATAAGATTCATGACATTGGCTCAAGAGGAGTGGTTCTGTGTGATACGGTTGAAGTGTAAATTTCAAGTCAAGTCAGGGTGAAGACAAGAATCCTGGTGTTTGGCCAATGTGACATTGTTAAGCCCTACAAGTCAACACATGTTATAAGTGAAGAGGACGAAGACCCACAGCCCACAGACGATCTTACATAAACATGAAATAATAAACCGAGAAAGTAGAGACTTCGTATTTCCAGTTGTGAAGCACAATTAGTAGTTGTGTTAGCAAGTAGGTACTATAGTATGTGAAGAATATTCCTTGTTAAGCATCTAGTCCAAAGCTTTTTATCATAAGAAGTAACTGAATTAGAAACAATTTTGATGCTGTACAGCACATATATATGACAGCACCAAAAGAAAGCCAAAGTTAGTTTGTATTAAAAACTTTGCATAGTCAATTTGATCCAGTATTACTGGAAACAATGAGACTGACATGACTTGTCAAATTATAATAGATGATTCTGCCTTACATAGCAATGTCAGGTAAAGGACACCAAGTTTCCCAACCATTCATAACAACCAAGCTGGAAATAGATGGCGCCACAGAGACGTCTCCCAGGGACTGATCAGAAAAGTTCACCGATTCATAAAGTTCTCCCCATTTAACAGAAAATTTATTGCCCACAATCTTTATTGCCTTCAAAATTCATTGCCTATTGGTCCAATCTTTCACTCCTGTTCGAGTGTGCACACATGTATAGTATAACTTAAGGGCTGCCTTTGTTGAGGTCCTGAACCACCAGGAATCATAAAAAATAGTAACCTTCTAATTTCTTCACCTAACATTACATGTGCACTGTTGGGTTCATTTAGTAGTCCCACTCTCCTGACCATACAGTCATGCAATTCAAATCCGTAAAATGTGCATTTGATGGCCCAAGGTACACTTTGATGCTGTGGACCTTTCCACATTTCAGGAATCCTCCCCAGAGAGCTGTAAGGTCATAAATGTATCGAAGGTTATGCTATTATACAGTATTGACTTTTTGAAGAAGATAAACGTTTGCTCCCATGTGTATAAGTGCTTGGAATGACGTGGTCTCATTCATCGTAGGTTGCCGTACGATTTTGATGCCTTAGAATTTTTAAGCGGGCTCCTGAAATAGAACCAATGGACAATAAAACACTTACAAGACAGCCAAATTTTACTGGACACATGTACATGTATGGCTATCCCAAGAATTCAATTAGGAAATAATACTTGATTGGGCCTGAAGATGGCCACATTTTGCTTTGTGGAATCAATTTTTCATTGGCATTTTCATATAAGATATTTATCTCTATTATACATCTCTATATATACATCTCTATATCATATACAGACTATTCCCTCATCGACATCCTATCCCTATACAGACTATTCCCTCATCGACATCCTATCACCCATGTCTTGAGGGTGAAAACCCAGATTTTCATTTGCACATATCTCAGGTCATCAAAAGAACCAAAATAGCCTGTGTGCGGTGTACCACATTATTTGTAACCATAAAACTTAATGTCTTTGGTGTAATGACCCTTTACTCATCACCTCACATGGCCCCAAGATGCAAGCAAGATCAGTTAGTCTGCAATTCTCATTATTTGCTCTCTAAGCAGATTCAGTCTTGGGTAATGACCAAAACCAACTTGTATGCATCATGTAAGGCATAGTTTTCAGCTTAATGGCAATTGATGTAGGTTACAGAAAAAGTCAGGCTGCTACACTTTGATAGAAATTGACAATTTTTACATTACATTTAAGTACCAGGACTCCTAAAAATTGTTGAGTAGTAGGACTTCTATTTTAATGAATTAACTTTGAAGCAAAGCTAGTAATACCAGACACATCACTTTAGTTTCACATTTATGAGTTTTTCCGGTTGCATAAAGAGGAAGATGAAGGATTAGAAATTTAGTTGCATACATCATTAAGTTGATTGCAGTCTGGAGGGCTGTTTTGGCAGTGTGCCAGGCTCGAAGTAGCAAGGGGACCATCTTGTACTGTAGATAAAGTCACTAATTTTGTTTTATAGATATTTCCAATGTTATTTTAATCATAATAACTAAAGACGAATAACCAGTGTGTATGATTAAAATGGCTGACGTTCCCGGCTTCATGTTATATGTACTGATTAGTGGGAAATGGTGACTGATGTGTCCCAATATGACAAGCCATTCTACAGATACCCCCAAAAGTGTGAATGATAGAGGCTCCATGATACCTGAGGGGCCCGAGTGGGAGTTCAGCACCACTGTTAAACTGACATGGCAGCAAAGTGTTGAAAAAAAAACTGCTAACTAAATCCCACCTGTCACCTGTGGCTTACTATGATGGATGCCTAACTAAAAGCACTCAAATTACAGAATCTGATGTACCCTTTCTAGTGTTCTTGCACAGTTGACTCTTTCCAGTTTAAATCCTAACGTGGCCTATTCTCATTTACTGAACAAAATTTAACCAATTCCTTTTTTACTATATGTAATACCTGTCAGGGAATACCATAATCCATGCAGGAAATAGTAAAGAGAATATCACATGAGGGCAATGCTGGATCTACTTTGTGGTGTTCCATTTATATCATACCCGTCCATGAAAACACAAATTTCAATGTGAAATGGGCCAGAAGTTGAGAAAATAGGCCATGCCATGAAGTGCAGACCGGTCCGGAACACCTGTATCACTGCTCGGGTACATGTATGACAAAGATGAATGCAACCTTGTGTTACACCTTTGTGTCAAATATTTCTTTAACCTGAATGTGATGGTTTTTGTTACCAGGCCATGGAAACCTGTCTTGAAATATGAGGCTATTTATGTGATGTACTTCATTTGCAGAGTTCTTTTATGCTGATCTCATTCATTTTTGCCACTTGAAGACGTGATATACTGTGGCCAGGTAATCTTCCCACGTTCTACACCATGGTCTTGTGGTAACCAAATGTTTGGCAGCTCATCCTTAGTAACTTCCAATTAGGTTTACCAAATAGGCTGGTTTTTCAAGTTCGACTCCTCTTTAGTGATGTTTAACACAGAGACTTGGAGTGATGGAGGTGCTTATTTGTAGTGTCCATGCAACAGGAAATTTGAAAAGGAGACGGCAAATCAAGATTGGCCAAGTTCAAGTTCGTGTGGTGAAGTGTGTTCAAGTAATAACATTCAGCTGCGAGGCAGTCAGACCATTGGAAGACACCATACATCAAGATTACTCTGTCAAGAGGCCAGCACGTCGTTTTGGAAAGCAATTTCAAACCGACAAAAATTTACATGTACTTGAAGACAGACAACTTGAATGTGTGGCATACCAGTAGAATTTCCTAGAA